TTAATGGTGGTTGCCAATGCTGCGCATTCACACGTAATGTAAGACTCCTCCACGAGTTCACATACTTTGGCCTCGCTCTTGCACAATTTTGTAAATCCTTAACTCTTGTTTGAAGATTTTATCATTATTTTTTTATCGATGTCATGAAAATGTTACGTTTCTCCCGCGCATTCGAGTTTGAATGGTTGACCTTTGTCTTTATTCGCACGGAATGAACCTACTCCATAGACGAATAATACTATGGAACTTTCTTGCTACCTATCTAAAAGATCCAAGGCGTAAGAATATGAAATATAGTTGTATGTGATCGGAAGTTCTACATAGCTAGGTCGTTATACAATAAATAAATGACGTATGTGGCAGTAATAAAAGTGGATGGGCAGAAAGGGATTGCGGGTTAGAGGGCAACTGGGGCGGCATTCTTGAGTTGTGTAGCCATATGGTTAATATGTTCATGCTGTGGGTGCACAATGTGTAGTCTTTTCGTTAATTTGAATTCGATCTTTCAGTTAGGTCTCTGTTATTCCACCTCAGAAGGATTTCTGTCATTGTAAACGCGGACTTAACGTTTCAGTCGATTACTAGGTGAGCTCAGTCCTTCTTAAGTGAAGGTATAATTAACTATGCTCTAATAAAGATAAGGCATGGAGAAGGAAGGAGCAACGTACCTTTATCCTGATTATTATATAAAATTGTCATTTCCTAAACTACGATGCCAATGGTCCTATTCTGGAAATCAAAAATACTATGACAGAGGACACAGGACTAAGTACGTTCCACAAGGTCTTCCTGGTGTTGCGACCAAGCTGCGAAGACAAGGTCGAATCAACACTTTATGGCCAAAAGAGACTGCGGTCAAACAAAAGGCCAGGCTATCTTGATCTATCATGCCTACATTCTCCCGAAATTTTTCCTGTGATATTTTTGATATTTTTTCCATTTGTCCTACTTGAAATTCTGATTTAAGTAATATAGTTATTTATTATTACAATTTACACAATTTCTAGATATTTTTAATAATTATCTCATTTAAATTTCATTCCATAACACTAGATGACACCGAACCTGATGGTGAAACTATGCACTTGGGCTTCATCATGAACGAACTAGCTACTGAGGCCTGTTCTGAATATGAGCATCGCTCTGATGGTCTCCCTTCATCACTTCAGGAAGGCCTTTCTACCACAGACCATACCACAACAGGTCTGGAAGAACTAGGCGTTGCCGAACTGGATGAAGACGAAGAGGATCTTTCAGGCGATCTCCTCTCTCCAGCACTTACGGCCGTAACTACTGCTGATTCTGTAGGTCTTGGAGTCCCGGTCTCAGGCGTTACCTTGGTTCATTCAGGGACCAACAGACGTAAATCTCCAGTTCGACCCATGCAGGTTCTACAAACTGGTAAAGCTGCACCAGCGACTCGGTAATCTTTCTTAACGATATCACATTTTTTAAATACTGACTGCTATCTCACTCATATACTTCGTTCTAGGAGGGATACAAAACTTTATGACTAACCACTCGAAAATAGGAAATTTCGATGTGAGGTTTTCATTATTCAGATACCCTCTCGCGGTTTTATTACTTTAATGCATCAAAATCGTGTGTTTTCTATTCACATTAAGGTGTAAACATGTTGATGTGATGAAGCCTGGTTCGATATTTTATTAGTGTCTATTTTGCAGACATCTTTTGATATGTATATTTCGAAGGGGTTATTAACGTGAAAGTTGTATCAATTTGTGTAAAACCTATGTGATAAATGCACATAATGTGACAAATGCAGAATTTGTGTTTTTTTGCTTAACTAAACATTGATTGCAATTTAATTAAATTGAATTGAAGATCTGCTCGTAACTTTAGTTGATTTCAATAAGCGTACTGAGAAATCAGTCTGTCTTTATGTATTGGTTAAATTAAACACAAGAGGGTGTATACGTTTCATATATATGATCTTCTATTATTCTCAAAAATCTATTTACAAAACGAAAATATTATAAAGCCAATTAGCTGTAAGGAGATTAGAGCATTCCTATCCTATTCCTTCAACTAATTCATTGTTCCTTGATTAAAAGAAAGCAGCAATAGAGCTTAAGTATTTAGAATACTCTTAAATCTGATCTAATTTTTTTCATTTAATCCTTAGGCTCACTCACAATTGTCCAATTCTTAAAAGTGGAAATTCGTATAAATTAGCTTTAGATGTATCATTTTATAAATTTCTTTGTGTAGTATGGATATTCCATTCCTTACGAAAAGTAAACAATACTCTACTTTTCAAGTGCTAGTGATTTTCAGACTACACGCAGGTTTAATAGAGGTAGGCATTGTGATTTACATTTATAGCAGAGCTCAGTTTATAAAGAGCTGGTTCGATTGCCAATATATAAAAAAATATGTCCACTTCGATTATTAGCGATAGCTACTTTCCTTTTGAAAAATGCTCACCGTCACATTTTTCCTTTGCCTGGCATACGAGCTGTTTTATTAAATGGAAAGCCTTTACTTAATTAAACTTCTTTTTTTCTCTAAAAAATATGTTGAATTGCAGGCTCTGAATCACTTATATTCTTCATCAGGTCGTGCACAACGCTACTCATAAGTGGTATGACTTTTTCATGGATTAAGCGAGATCCATTTTTCTTTGAGACTCACAAGTGTTCTTTTCGTTTATAAGTGGTTGTTTCGAAACTACCATTAGATCATATATGTATGAGATGTAAGGGGACTGATAATTATATTTTCCCACAGTGATCTCAGTAGACATGACGAAATAAGATGAATACATCTCATATGATCTAATAGTAGCCTTAAAAACCTACTTGTAAACGAAATCTTAGTAACGTAGTCCTTTGCTTTAGCAAATACAACTTTGCTTATCTACAATCCCATCTCAGAATGTGATATAGGAAAATTTCTGACCTTTCTTGAAATTCGCATATGTCCTGTTGCCCATGGGCATTCGTGGCAATGTAGCGTTTCGTTTAACGTGACGAGATTGTATGCTGCAATGC